CCACCCTCCTTCTCTCTCCAATTGTTTGGGAAAATTAATTGATAAAACCAGCCTTAATTAAATAGGAAACATGCCCATGTTTGCACAACTCAGTACACAATCGTGTCTCAGTCAAATAAACACTGGTGTCCAAATTACACTTGGGAATTCACTGTGGCTTGGGGTTTTAAATTCGTTGCAGCAAGCTTGGGAGCAAAGTTCCAACAGGAGTCTTTTCTTCTCCTCCCACCCTCTGTACTAGGAGGAGACTGAATAAATCTACAATGCAGAGAGGCTCAGTATTGGTTCCAGCTCAATGTGTACGTGAGGATCATTTCAGGACACACCATATGAGACACACCAGCCCAAAAGCAATTATTTTTTCTCACCACTTCTCAGAACCCAGACCAACCAAACTGCCCTGAAATAGCAGCACAGCTCTCGAAATAGCATCATTTCTTCTCTTTTTGAAAGCAACACCCACACTCAGTCTTTGATTTCAAGCCATCCCCGAGCAGTTACCACTTCTTCACCATTCAAGCCACAGGGAAAATCACTAAATCCAACAGAAACACCACGGGAAGAGAGCCAAAATTAGAAAAGCCAAACACCACATGGATTTACTCCCACAATAACTGGATCGACTTCAGCCTGGAACAGACCAGACGTGACTCCAGGAAAAATATGTCTCTCCAGGTGCAGCTGCGTGGAGGGCACTTCTCCTGGGCTCGTGGTTGAAGGCAAACCACATGTTCCAGCTTTAAGGCAGCAGACATATAACCAGGGCTCGCCTCAGCACGCTGAGAGACACAGCCTTCTCCATCCTGCTGTCTGCACAAACATGCTCACACAGCAGCCCAGAGCCCAAGGCAGGGGAATTCAGGTTGGGAAGCATGTCCTTGGATCCTGAGGAGGCCTGGCTTATGGCTGGCAGACTGGCTGGCTGAGGTCTGTACCCACCAGAAGCTTCCCTTGAAGAAGTCTGGAGTTTTCCCCACAGGTTTGCATGCAGCAACAAGAAATGTTTTAACACAAAAGCATCGACCTTCTCCTCCCTATACATTGTGTGCATCCAGGTAACCTGGAGATATCCAAAGGAAATCGGCACTGCTATGGAAAACCTCTTACACAGGAATATATCCCTGCTGTAAAGCAACAGAAGCAACTCACCCTGCTGAGTGATTTTCCTCCCAAGTGTGAAATGGAGCAGTGAGCAGAAACAGCTCGTGAATCATGGAATCACAGAATAGTTTGGGCTGCAGGGGACCTTTAAAGGTCAAATGAAATCAAAGACAAGAAACAGAAGGGTGGGTGAGGAAGGAGATGAAAACACCACAGTGACACCTTGGGCTTTGTTCCCACCTTGTTGCAAACCTCAAAACAAAGCCCGAGGATGAAATTTTGTCTGGATATTCCAACAGAAAACCTCCTCCCATAGACTTCTTGTGCTTTGAGGTTAGTAAGTGCCTTGCAGGCAAGTGCAGCCTGGAGTGCCATGGGACGCACTCCAATGATGGATTATCACTGCTGCAAGGTGCCTTTCATTTCTCCCAACACACCTGAACTCAAAACAATCCTTCTCTGTGACAATCAAGACATTTTAATGGAAAAAAAAGGAAGTTTACTTTGTATTGATCCTCTTCATGAAACTGTGCCTCAAACAGCTTCACAGAATTGAGATAAAACATTGCTCAGAGAGAGAAAAATTAAATAGCTCAGGCTGAGAAAAAAAAAGGACAGATTTTAGATCTAAGAGATTTTTCACAGAGCAGGAAGACTTGTCATATGGTAAACAGCAGAATCTTGGAACTGGGACATTTGGGATTTATCTCTTCTTCCACAGCTTTCCCATGTGACTGGGGTAAAAGAATGACAATCCTACCCATAACTTGCTAAAAATTTAGCACAATTTCAACGTGTTCAGGTGGGAGTTCATTTTATTCGGCACACCACGCTTGATCCTCCCAGTGCCTCGGCTTCACCGAATGTAAAACAGCACAGGCACCTGGCTGTGCCAAAAAAGCATTTCCATTAATGCCCTCAAATGAAAAGGAATCAGCATAAGGTATTAGATCCCCACCAGGACTGAGCCATGTGCAAGCCAGATGAGGTAACAAGCCAGTAAACTTCAAATCACTGCTTGCATCCATCCCATAACTACATGCTGAAATCCCTACAGATAGGCTGCCATGTTGGCAGGGAAAATTTGTCATTTCTAAATTTAGCAGACACTTCAATCATTGTGTGATGCTTCAAAAGCAATGGAGATGTAAAGCGGAGTTTGTAGGACAACCATTTAAACTGAAATGAGAGCTCCGCTCACTGAGCAAAGGCTTTTCTTAATTCCCTTCCTGTTTGGACAATTTGATCCACTGCTTTTTTCTCCACTACAACCACAAAGGTCTATCCTGCAGTGAATGGATAGGCTTTTTTCTGGGATAACTTCCAGGTTAAAGAGAAAGGATTTACACTTGAATGAAACATAGGCACTGTATTTGGAAAATTTGTTTTGAAAACTTGGGAAGGAAGCAAAGCCTCCTTCATTTAAAAAGGGACTCAATTAACATTCTCCAACAAGTCTTCCTATCGAAAGAACAGTACTTGCTGGGGGACATGTGATCCGAAACTTGTTCTCCTCACTCACAATGTCCCTTTCTGAAACACAGGGCACCGCTTTGGGGAGACACGAGGATCTTTGCGCAGCTCTCCAGAGGCCTGCCTGACTCCAGGCGTCAGATGTTCTATGACTTAAGCTCAGGAAACTTAAAATAGTGCTTAAAGACCCTAATGAAGACCTACAGTGACACCATCCTACTGTGGATCCCTCTACAAGGACAGCTCATCCGTGCCCAGCCAGAGCGGCAGGACGAATCCTCGGCGCGCAATTGTCAACTCCGCATTTTCCTGAAAACAACACGTTTTAAAACCTGTCAAGAAGACACTAATGACCAACCAAGCAGGTGTTCTGCTTTTCATTCCTGCATTTCTGGGTGTAGGTTTGATCTGCAGCAGGCAGCAGCCAGACGGGACCAGCCTAAGGGTTACCTTGGTTTTGAAAAACAATCCTGCCAGAGCTGGGCATGCCCAGATATTGCCGACGTAGGAGGAGGAAAACAAGTTATGCCATCATTTTTTTCCAGCTAAAGTTAAAGGGGGGAAAAAAAAAGGCTACTGACAATTTAATATGCACTTTTATTTCTGAATTCCCTTATCAACTGCACATGACAGAGCATTCTTCACCCTTTAATAAGTATGGGTTGAAGTCGAGCCTGACTGGAAGCTGATGACGGATTGAGAATGGGAGTCCATGTCATTACACAGCAGATTGGGACGGGAGATAAAAGGCATTATTAGTGGATATTGCAACAGAAAACATGCAACCATCACCTCATTCTGGGACCTTCTGCAGCAGACCACTCTCCTTCATTCCTTCTGGATGCCTCCAACTGCAATGTGACCCAGGTACGTGCAACAGAAAGGAAAAAGTTACCTGCAGCTCCCCCCCATCAGTGCCTCAGTGGGACCACGTAGGGAAAACAAGGACACAGAGCTTGTCCCAGTAATCTGGATGCTGAGATGTGAGCTACCCTTTGGAAAAAATATGATTTTTCCCTGCTGACCATGCTTTTAGGTCAGGTGGGGATAACTATAAAAACTCTTCTGTATTCAGCTGATATCCTTTAGATCATCCAAAATAAATTGGTGGTTCAAGAGTTTGTCTAAACCAAAATGGACCAAACGCCCTGAAATCTTTTCCCATCATCCAAAATAAAAGCGATTTAGGAGTTTTCTTATTAAGTAAGATTTTCCAGGGGAAAGTCAACAGGCTCTAAATTCACAATACAGTGGAACACAATACAAGTGACTCCCTCTTAACCCTTGCTGACCACAAACACAGATGTCAAGACAGAAAGCGGCAGAGAATCCTCTAAACATCTCATGTAAATGAACCACAAGGTACTTTGCACAGCTGGTAAATGAGCTGCTCTGTGCTAAGCACACTTAGCAGAGTTTACATTTCCTTAAGACACTTGAAGATTAAGAGGCCTGCTCCTGTCTTTCCTGCCAACTACAGGCAGATGCTGGATAGCAAAACAAGGTGAAGGTACTTTTCAGATGAGATGAAGCAAGAAATAATTGAAAAGCTGTAGGCAGCTCACCCAAGATACAGGGCCAAAAGTTGGGTTTGGCTTGAGCTTTGTGCTAAAACCCTCCATCCATCCAAAGGGCATCCATCCCAAAGGCATCCAACAATCCAACATCTGGACACGACACAGTTCACACAGTCACTCTCCCATTACCTTGAGCTAAAGATCCCCTTGGCAGATGGATCTTTTGCACCTTGTAGAACTTTCTCCTGAGAATATAACAGGTGGTGACAACTCATGAAATGTGCTCATATCCACACATCTTTAAATAAAAACAGTCATCTACAGAAGTCTGGCTTTGTTTTCGTTATGCCTTTGAAAAGAGTCAATCCACTCCAAAAGTTTAGAACTGGGTAACTGCAGTAATTTCATCTTCTCAGGGAAGAAAGGGAAAAGTATTTAATAATCAAATAGGTTCCTCCCCTCCATGTATAGAACTGGTCATACCATCTCCTGTGAAAGCTTTCTGATCGTGCCCACTGCACAGCTTCATGTACTGGAAACAAGCTTTAGGACCAGGAACTTGCTGCAAAGTCCAGGTGTCCCACACACACAGAAAGAGAGAAGCATATTCTTTGCTATAACACATTGGATTTATCAACAGGGACAAAGTGATCCTGCACGTTTTATCAAAAGTCCCCTCTGAGAAGGATTTAACCACTAGAAAAACTGTGCTTTTTAAAAGTGAAGCTGCCTGGCCAACACGGGCAAAGTCTGAAAGTGCTGCAACTCTTTGCTCTGGGACTCAAATATTACTGTAAATTTTGCAGACATACAGAGCCCCTGCCTCGGGAAGTTGCTGGAACTGAAGTGAGGGGGACACGGCCCCGTATTTACACCACTGCCCCACTGTGCATCTTCTTGTGCCCATTTGTCACCGAGCACATCTTCCCCTCCCTGCTCCAAAGCAGATTAAGCTTAATAAACTTATGTAGTTGTGAAGTGTACTGCCTATTATCCAATTAGACAGCTAACGAGATCTGAGTAGCAGCACGTAGGCACCGATAACTGCCGGCTGATACCTGGTATGGATTAGACACGTTCCTTATTTTTCCAGCCCTTAAAGAGAAAAGGGTTGGGATTGGTTCAAAGGCTGCTCTGAAGACTGGATTCAGGTAATTGTTTAATTTTGTTTGGGACCCATGAGCACATCACGTTTGTTTCCTCTTGATCTCCTGGAGCTGTCACATCGCAACCGTCCTGTTACGAAACTCCTGATAAATCTGCTGTGACTTGCTCACCTAAACTTCCAGTATGGACAGGGGCAGATCCCATCACCTTTATGGTCCCTTCCAGCTTCAGAAATCTATGGAGCAACAAAGAAAAACGTCCAGAAGTGATAAGGACATTCAGAAATGCTTCTTTATTAGCTCTGATGCCGTTTCACGTGATATTCCCGTAAGGAAACGTGAATCGGATGCAATCACCATAAAACGGCTGCATGACAACATCGTTCTCGGAGCGTAATTATCAAGGGTTTGTTATCTAACTGGGAGAGCACTGGGAAGCGGGTCCAGCCAGGCACAAGGGCTGTGCAATATTTTCATTACCAGTCCGGATGACAGACTGGAATGTATGGCCACAAACCCAGCAGATGATTCAGCTGGGAGGGTTTGCAAGCACCGTGGTGCACAGATTTCAACTTCTAAATTATCTCGATGCGCTGGTCTAGTTATGACAAGAGGAAATACCTGAGCAAGAGAAGTCACAGGTACAAATGCAAAAATGGGGAGCAACTTCCTATTCAGCAAGACTCCAGAAAAGACTCTGAGAGGGTCAAGGTAAAATTGGGAGGTTCAACAGTGTCCCACAGCTGAATAAAGGCAAAGCTCAGGGTATGATCCACAGAAAGACTCAGCTATGCCTTGAAAAGTCCTGCCCTCGGGTGCTCACTGTGTGCAGCTGCTGTGCTTTTTGTGAAAGCAGACCTGAGAGAATCCTGTGGAGAACAACAAAATTAAAAAACACCAGGTATGAGATTAGCTGGGTCCATTTAAGCCAGACATGTTCCTGAGAACAGACTAGCTCAGGCAAGCAAGCAGGACACGGCCTGAGGGGAGTCTCCTCCATCCAAATCCAGCAGGAAAATTCAGAGTTTCACTCTCCTGAGTTTAACCCTCTGGCTTTAATCTTTGTTTAAAACCAAGGTAATGGCTATGAATGTGTATGGAAAGAACAAAAGACCAGGGGCTCATCAACATAGAAGAAGAGGCCAAAAACTACTTTTTAGAATCCCATGTGCTTTTACTTCTCACCCCCCTTCTCCCAGCTCACTCACCCCACTGAAAAGCTCCACATAGGTCAGTTTGAAGACAAATTTTTCACTGTTTTGAAGCAACTCCCTCATTAGCAGATCTTTTAAAGTGTGACCATCCTAGAGACACTTAACTTGTTCTCACAAATGGGGAGATATGGATTGGATGGGTGGAACACACAGCTTTAAACTGCCAGAGGGCAGGGGTCAGATTGGATATTGGGAAGAAATTCTTCTCTGTGAGGATGGTGAGGCCCTGGCACAGGTTGCCCAGAGAAGCTGTGGCTGCCTCATCCCTGCAAGTGTCCAAGGACAGACTGGAAGGGGCTTGGAACAACCTGGGCTAGTGGAAGGTGACCCTGCCCATGGCAGGGGGTTGCAACTGGATGGTCTTTTAAGGTCCCTTCCAACCCAAACCACTCTGTGATTCTGTGACTCTCTGGTTAAAATTTGGTTGGATCACTGAGCTTGAAAGGCAGGAGCCAGCAGACTGGAAAACATGATGGAAGAGAAGAGAATGAGGGAACGGGGTTTGTTAAACTTTGAGAAGAAATGGAAATTAGTGGGGGATTCAACTTACACCTTCCACTATCTAACTGGGGGGAGCTAGAGATGGAGCCAGACTCAAAACAGTAGAAACAAAAGGCAACAAAACAATGGGCATGACTGGCAGCAGGGGAAATTCTGATCAGACAAGAGGACAATATTCCTCACCACCAGAGCAGTAAGCATGGCATCAACCTGCCACACTTGACTGGAAAAGGCCCAAAACTTGATCAGAAATGTTCACAAAGAACCTACCTTTGATCCTGGCCCTGTCTGGAGCAGGAGGTCAGACAAGGGAGCTCCAGATGTCCTATTCCACCTCAGTTAATCTTCAGTTCTACGAAATCTTTATCAAGGAACACTGAACAAGGGAATTTGCCCAGTAGTCTACATCACTCTACACCTGTTCAGTGCTAACAAGTACTTTAGACTCAAAAGCTGTCAATAAAATACCTTCCATATGACTAAAGCTGCCAGTATCTGTAACTGAGGGAGAAAAAAAGAGTAAGGAATTAAACACTAAGAGCTTTCACTGCCACTGGAAACAGAACAAGAGAAACTGGAGACTCACATTATGCAAGTTGTGCAGAAGCTCTGGAGAAAACTGTGAGGAATTCAAAGAAGATACATAGTGATAGTTCAAACAATAAAATCCAGACTGCTCCTCCCTACCTGCTCTTCCCACTGCAATAAACAGGAGCTGATGCCAAGAGATGTTTCAGACCTGTCCAGACCAGCCTCCTTTTTGGTGAGAGCTTCCTCAGTTGTCTCAGGACAAAGGCTCCCTGTGTGCAGACACACCTTTCACACAAACTTCCTACTCTCTCCCACTGAAAGGTATAAGAGGTGTTAATAGATCCAGAGAAAATGCCTGGAACAATATACACAGACAAGTTTTTCCTTCTTTCCCCCCCCCAATAAAGTGAAGCAGTTTACCTTAGTAAATAATGTTTCTAGTGCTTATCTGCTGCGTTTTCTGTCACGTTTTATGTCTGAGTGCTCTCAGAATAATCTTCACATCCACGCTTTACCAGCTTTAGAAATGCATGAATAACCGAGTCCTTCATGGAAACAAAGATACAGGAGATACAAAATCAGATGCAGGGAGGGTAACCACTGCAGGGAGGGAGAAGAGAAGGTCACTCCTGAGCTCCAGCTGGGAGGTCAGAGCAGGAAAGCACAATGTCTGAGCTGCAATCCAGCTAATCGTGGGCAAAGCCTTGGTCCGAGCAGCTGCCGAGGACCTTCACCTTGCAACAGGGAGGAACTACTCTGGAACAGCCAGAAATCCATAACACATGCCTGTGGAAAAGCACTTGAGCAAGAAGAGCATGTGCCCTGTTTCTATAATGGGTAGAAAGAAGAAGCCATAAGGAAACCTTTCGTGACAAAACACTTTATGTGTGCTCTGTCCAAAAATAAAATGCATCCATCATACCCCAAGGTCCACATGAGAGTCACAAAATGGTGTTTGCTGGCTCACTACAGGCAGGTCCAGGCAAGTTTTGGGCCCTGAAGCTCAAGAAAGACACGACCCAGAGATTCCCAAAGGCTGCTCCAGAGGATGGAACAGCTCACTCTGTACAGTAACAAAAGGGCAAGAGGGCAGCAATCCCCAACTGCAGCACAAGAAATCAAAGTCAGAAACTAGGAAAATCTTGGTAATGGCAAGAACAATGCAGGACTTTCAAGGATCACCCCAGGAGGACGGGGAAAGTCCATCACTGGAGGCTTTTAACAACTGTGTTGATCAAACATCTGCTGGGAAAGTTTAGATAGATCTGACCCAGTCTTGGGGCAGAAGGTCAGATTAGACAACTTAAGGTCCCTTCCGGCCCTGCTGCTCTTTGCTTGTAACAGAAACATGACAGCAGAACATGTCAACAGCAGCTCCAGAGCACAGGAGCTTCCCTGATATTTGTGTCATACATTGGAGAAACTCTATAAGATCCCACGTGCAGCAGCTGCCCATTCCCACACGGTACCTGCTTCCTCCGTTCCTGGAGGAGTAATACAGAGACAACATAGAGCTGGACTCACAGAACAGGCATGGGAACAGGAGCTTCCCAACGAGAAAGCCCCTCTCCCACCCCACAGCATGGAGATAGTTATTAACAGGACCACATCCACACTTTTCCTCCCATTTGCCTCCTTCCCATCTCACTCTGCAGTCAGAGCAGTTCTCTCTTTTTTTTTGTTTGTTTGGTTGGTTTTTTTTACCTTAAGCCTTTCTTCTGTTCCTCCCTGGACTATTTTCATGTATAAGATCTTCAGCCCTGGATCCCATCCCAAGGGAATCCAGACATAAAAAGATAAGTGACACAGCACTTCACCCTAAAGCCCACGGTCACATTCAGCCCTTTGCCAAGTCCTCCTCAAAGCCCAAACAGAGACACCAGATGCCACTGGAACACTGGAGAGATGGTGTGAGCTCCCCACGACAAGAAAGGGACATTCAATTCAGTCTGCTTGGAGGACTCTCTGCTCCTGCAAGCATTTAATGAAGAGCACAAACTGTTCTGTGGGATCAGAACATCCAAACAGCAGAGAGTAAACTGCAACCTCCAAAGTACCAACCTTTACCTCAGCTTTAAAGCTTGGCCTATCAAAGGGGTTTTAGGGAATTTTTGCTTCCTCACGTGCCTCCCCAGTCTCCCCCCAACTCCTCCTGGCTTATTCTTGCAAATTCAAAGTCAATCTCCAAGCTCTCAGTCGCATCTGCCCATGGAAGAACACAACAAGGAAGATGACAGAAGTGGTCCCAGGGAAAAATACCCATATGTGTGTGTTTGGGAGCACATCCCAGATATAACCCCACATGTGTGTTTGTTTGGGAGCACATCCCAGATATAACCCCACATGTGTGTGTGTTTGGGAGCACATCCCAGATATAACCCCACATGTGTGTGTGTTTGGGAGCACATCCCAGATATAACCCCACACGTGTGTGTGTGTGTGTTTGGGAGCACATCCCAGCTATACCCACACATGTGTGTGTTTGTCAGCACACCCCAGCACATCTGAGGGCACAGTTATGCAATTCCAGAAACCTTAGATCCAAGTTTGCACTGTCCTTAAGGACAGCCCTGTCTGTGTGGTGCTGACAGCAGCAGTCATGGGACAGGCCAAGGATTGGATCCAACCGAAAAATAACCCCATAAAAATAAGTAATAATCCACTGCCAGGTGTGTGGGCTCCCTGACCAAGACCTGTCACCCACAGTCACACCAGGACATGCACAAGAATGGGGTGAACCCTTTTACTAGAAGTAGCGTTTTAAAATTGTGTAAGTCACCCGAGAGCCTGTGCCCTGCCAGGGCTGGAAAACAGTTATGCAAGAGAGGAAACGAGCAGCCGGAGACAGGACAGCTGAGAGAAAACATCTCTGTGCAGTTCCACTCCTGGAACCAGGGACTTGCACAACAATGCTCCCTCCAGCTTCCCAGGCTGTCCCAAAGGGTCTGTGAGCTTCAGGAGCTCAACCAAAGGATTACCGGACACGTCCTCCCCGCAGAGTCCTCTGGGATCACAGCGCTGTCAGATTCCAAAAAAGAAAATCCTGTTAGAAGAAGATTGGAGATCAAAGCAGGAGGTTACACCTACATCCTGGAACATGCATGCCCATGGGAGAGGAGAATTTTTAATTCAGCTTCAGACTAAGTGCCCATCCAACAGAAACGTCAGAAACTCTTGCATATTGCACCTGTATGAGGGCCTTGGGAGAAAATCCATTCCCCACCTGTCCCGAAAAATGAACTAAACTGAACTGACTCTTAGAAAAAGAACGAAACTCTTCCTTTCCTATGCAATTTCCAGCTTAAGGATAGGCCAGGACTAGCTGCTTCATTTAGCACAAGGCATTTTCTGGATATATCAGCTACAAGGGAGCTTGAGCAGGTACTTCACAAAGAAATGATCCAAACAAACATGCCTTTTTTTTTTTCTCTCCTCCTCAAAGTGTGCAAACATCATTATATCCTGTCCAATATTTCAGTCATGCCAAGCATGCCAGCAAAACCTACGCTGTTCCAGGCCACTCAGCTCAATCTAGAGGACACACTAAAGAAAAATCTGGCATTATGCAGAATAATGAATGAAGAAATGAATAACTAAGTATCCATTCTTCAAAAATTATCTACATCCACTTAGTTCTCTACTTCGTCAGCCAGGAAAACAAATATTTTCCTACTTCTGAAATGGTAGTTCCTGCCTTTGAACTCAGTAGGTACACACACACACACACACACACATACACATGAAGAAAAAGTGGAATTAAATGAACTTTTCAAACCATTATAAAGACTTTGCAGCCCTTTAAAGACCTATTGCATAAAAGAAATGCATGTGACCAAAGCAAAAAATTCCCCACAAGCTGAAATTGTCCGTGTTTACGTCATTGCAGCTCTCTGGGCTCCCCACAGCTGAGACTCTCCTCACTCACTGCAACCTCCATTCTGCCACTGATCTGCTCCGTGGCCTTCAGTTCTCCCTCTTGGAAGTGGGATAAACATGGTCTCAGAGCATGATGTGGAAAACCTCTCCGAAGAGGGAATATGCAACAACCAAAGCCCTGTGTAAATCGCTGCCCCCAGGCTGCAAAATGTGTTTCCCTCAGGCCCAGCAAGCTCCCAGCCACCATCATTTTGAGTTATCCCAGAGCAGTAACAATAGCTGCCTTGTTTAACCGATCCTTAAAGGATGGGCTGGTAGCAGAGACCTACCCGGGGACAGCTCAGGGATCAAACTCCAGCATGAGCAGCAAGGACGAGCTTTTTGACCCTTCTTGCATTACATTCCTGCTGATGAGCTCATCTCACTACCTTCAGAGCAACCCAGGCCTTTCCCGGTGCCAAATCGCTCCCTGCTGCACCTCTCACCTTCCCTCACATCTCAGCCTTGCAACGTCATGGCCCTGGCCCCAAAATGTCTCAAAACAAAAACTCCAGCCACCACAAAAAGAAAAAAAACACTAAAATTGCACTTAAAACCAAGGATATGATTAAAATTCACCAAATAACACCATTGGTTTAAAATCTACTGCATTTAAAGATTTCCCCAGGAAAAGGTCACCAGTATACAGAGCACATCCTCCAAAGCAAACGTCCCTGTCACAGTGCTGTCAGGTTCAGATGGCAAACATGTTGTTATAAAAACCCTGTGTGGTGTGTTATCCACAGCTCAGAGCTGCTGGTTCAATCACAGGATGGTTTGGGTTGGAAGGACCTTAAAGACCATCTTGTTCAAACCCTTTGCCACAGGCAGGGACACCTTCCACTAAATCAGGTTGCTCCAAGCCTCACCCAACGTGATTTTGAACACTTCCAGGGATGGGGCAGCCACAGCGTCTCTGGACAACCTGTGCCAGGGCCTCTCTACCCTCTGAGTAAAGAACTTCTTCCCAATATCCAATCTAAACGTTCCCTCTGTCAGTGTGAAGCCATTCACCCTTGTCCTGCTGCTCCAAGCCCTTGTCCAAATCCCTCTCCAGCTCTCTTGGAGTCCCTTAAGGCCCTGGGAGATGCTGGAAGGTGTCCCCAGAGGCTTTTCTTCTCCAGTCTGAACACCCCCAGCTCTCTCAGACACTCACCTACAGTCCAACCCCTAACCTGGGGTCCCTCAGGGTTCTGGCTCTAGTATCCAAAGCCTTTTTTTCCCATGCAAAAAATAAAGAACACATTGGTGATGCAATGGGCACCACATGTGGTCAGATGAAGGGAAGGACGGTGCCATGAACTCCCTAAGGAGCACACATCCTGTACAGCCATCCCACTGCAACACCGACTGACGGTCTCCTCTTTAATAAGTCAGTTGTACGTGGTCGAGTTTAACCTCACAGGCTTTATTACAGGTTGCAACGTCCTTTCACAAGGTACAGGGAGGAGCTGAACCTCACAGACTCCCCAAAATTATGTTTATAATTGTACACAGACACAAAAACAGGACCTCAAAATAAGGTTCTTGAAAACCCACTCTCCAGAACGGAGCCACACCCCCGTGGAAGAGCCGCACCACATCCCGGTGCTCTTCAGGTGCCACCCATGCACGTGGT